CACTGTAGTTCTCTAGTTTTACCTAAGCTGTACTGTAGTTTTACTGTGGTTGTACTGTAATTTTACTGTAGCTGTACTCTAGTTCTTCTGTAGTTTTACTGTAGCAGTACTGTAGTTTTACTGTAGCTGTACTGTAGTTTTACTGTAGCAGTACTGTAGTTTTACTGTAGCTGTACTGTAGTTTTACTGTAGCAGTACTGTAGTTTTACTGTAGCTGTACTGTAGCTGTACTGTAGTTCAGGCGTACTCTGGAATCAAATGACTGACAGGAGCAGGAAGTCTGTGAAGATGTTCTCCTGCACCAAGAGAACATCTTCATCACTTGGCATCTTTATCTTATTAGAAAATCATCATCATCAGGAAAGATGGGCGCAGAACCCAGAACGAACATCGCTGCAAAGCATTGTGGGACGGAATGACCTCCTTCCCTTCGCTAAGGACAGAAGTGTTTCCTAAAGGAGATAATAGAGGAAGCCGTGAAGCTCCTTCCCTCAGAACCGGAGCAGCTCTTTTCACAGCTGCTTCTCACAAACTTCCAGGTCATTTCACTCAGAACTCTTCCTGTTGGGTCGAACTGCTGGACCGGTTCTCAGAGTCAGAGGTCAGACTACGGAGGCTGTCAGGGGACAAAAAGAACAGACAGATGTTACATAAGCTGCGGTCAACTCCATTAAATGTGAATGGAGATGATTCACACACATTATCTAATTACAAACACACAATGACATCAAGCTCCACAGGGAGCTATAACACACACTCCCGTTTCCTGGCAACATGATCGCTGACCCCCCCACCTCCCCCTCTGCGTGCGTCATCAGTTAAAGAGAACAGAGCGGGACGAGAGACACCGAGGACACAAAGGACAGAGACGGAGAGAGAGAGAGAGAGAAAGAAAGAGAGTGATTTCAGTTCAGGTCTGAGGAAGGAAACAGTTGGAAACCTTTAGTTTCCTGCAGGACTCTGACGTTCTTCAGACACTGGAAGATGCCCCGCAGAACATCTGCAGATGTGCTGCAGGCGACCAATAAAAACATCTAGATTTTCTTTTTAGTCTGAAAAGAAAAATCAGACGTTCTTCATCTGATTTAAAGGAGGAAATCCTAGAGGACCTTCTCACCTGGAACAGAAGAACTTAAGGAACCCTGATGTTTGGTGTTCTCTGAGGTTCCTTGTTCTCTTAGGTTTGGAGTTCTCTGATGTTGAATGAACCTCATTAGAGAACAGTTTAGACCAGACGTGCCCAGGTGGAAGCAGGAGGTGTTGGAGGTTCCTGAGCTGGTATTTTTAGAGCCACGGGCGGCGAGAAGTCCAGCCGTAAACAGAGGAAGCTCAGGTTTATTTAATGTGAGGGAACGTTTCCTCACGCTGAGCTCGCACTCCAACGTTCCTCTGAGAACCTCTGCACGTCTGAAGCTCTTCTTTCAAGACTCAGCAGTTCTATTCTCTGGGCCTGACTCAGTTCTGATTTGGTGTCTTATCAGGTCCAGCTAGTGTAAGCTACTTCTCCTATCCTGCTGATGGGAACAGAGTCTGAACACAGATAGGGTAAGGAGGAGATCCTGGTTGGTTCAGAGGAACCAGTTGTTGATGGGAACCTCTGAGGGATTTTGATGGGAGGGGGGGGGGGGGGGGTGGATATGATCCATAATCCTGCTGAGGACCCTCAGCTGGACTTCATCACAAAGACCTTTCATAAATAGGATTTATTTCTCAGAGACAGAACATCCGAGGCGTTGTCTCAGAGTTCGGACCTTTAGAACCAGGGTTCTTGTGTCCTAGGTCTCAGAGAATCTTCCCGCTCAACTGGGCTTTAATCTGACAGAACCAGAACATTTCCACCTGAACCCGTCTTTTCAGATCTTATGTTTTTAAAAATATCCATCCATCCATTATCTTTACCTGTTTATTCCATTTTGGGTCTC